CCCCCGCCCAACCACTGCATTTGTCTCCTGATGAGTTCCTCTCCTCTCCCTCCTTCTAGTCCAGGGAATTCTCCAAAAGCTTTTAAAATGCAAATCTAACTATAATCACAGCCCCCTTAAAACCCTTCAAAGATTCCTCATAAACAAAGGTCCCAAACCCTTGACCCTCCATCAGCTGGTCCCAGCCTCCCCTCCTCCCGCTCTGTGCTCCGGGAGCAGCAAACTGCTTCCAGCTCCAGCCTCCAGACCTTTAGTCATTCAGTGCCCTCTGCCAGGACTAGCCCTTGCCAGTCAGGCTCTTCCTCACACCCACAGTCTCACCTCCTCCAGGAAGCCATCTCTGACCCTCCCGCCCCTGTCCCCCAACGTCCTCAGCGCATCTGTAATGCCTTCCTTGTTCAAGGATCTGTTATTCCACTCGCCACCCTGAGTTATAATTATTGATTTTCATGTCTCTGTTCCACACTTGCCGATGAGATCCTTGAGGGCAGGGACGGTGTCCCATTCATCTCTATCTCAACCCCTGGCCTGGCACCTGGCACGGAGGACAGGCTCGGGCAGGGGGTGATGGATAAATGTGGGGGGGAAACTCAAACAAGTAAGAGGCAGAAATGACCAAGAGGGGAGTGAGGGCAAGCCTGGCAGGAGGAGCAGGCAGAGCAAATGTGTGGGAAGTGGAGAACCGAGAACTTCCGTTTATTGCACTCCTACGACTGCCCGCCAGCCACCGTGCCTGCGCTTTGTTTGCACATTTTGTCTCATTTGGTTCTTGCAAGAACAGATCAGGAAACGGACATCAGAGAACCAAAGTAACCTGCCCAAGGTCACACAGCCAGGTCTGGAACAGAATCTGGGACTGTCTGGCCTGAAAACCTGTGCTCTTTCTGCTGGGCCACACAGCTCTCCTAGGGACAGGACCTTCTGGAAACCAGACAAGGAGTGGGCCCAGCTACGCCCCCTGCCTAGCTGAGCGCTGGAACCAGCTGCCCACACTCAGGCCAACAGCTTCTCCCTCCCAGCCGGACCAGAGGCTCAGAGGCCAAACAAATATTTGCCTGTTCCTTCCTCCCCTGGCTTTGAGGGTCTTTGACTAGACATGTACAACCCCCTCTCCCCCACCACCACCAGGAAAGAGCTGTTGCATCTTGGTATAGCCCAGGGTGCCTGGAAATGCAGGGGGCTCTGTGACGCTGTCTGGGTTTTGCAGAATCTGTCTCCCTCATCGCACTTGGCCCAGGCTGATATTAAGATTCATCTGCATTCCCCGCGCACCCGCCTGGCAGATGGTGGGGGAGGAGGCTGGGTGCGTGCCGGGGTTGCAGCCGCGGGACCAAGCTGGGCCTCAGAGGGCCACAGAGCAGAGCGCCCACCCACCGTGCTCCTTGGACCCAGGCCAAGCTGGGACCACTCTGAATGATGGGGTGCCTCCTCACCTTCGTAGCCTCCAAGGGGTGCCAGGACTTGACCTTTCATTTTTCTGAAGACTAAAGGGACCCTGAAATTCCAGGAAGGAGACCTGAAGATACAGAGTAGGGGTGATGGAGGATGGTCCCCCATCTTTGGGAATGTCAGATCAGGGTCGTGTTCTTCCTTCTTGCCCTGGAGGTTTGCAGAGAGCCCACTGGGACAGGAGCCCCTCTCAGCCTGGTGGCCCTGTGGTAGAGAGGGTAAGCAGTGAAGAATGAAGGGACAGTGCCAGGGCAGCCTTGACCACCTCACTCCCCAGCTTCTCAGGACCTGCCCTGGGCCCCAGAATCCAGTCGGCCCCTATCAGCCTTTTCAGCCCAGGGCCCAGCCAAATGCTTCCTGTCACAGTGACTGGACCGAGAAGGTCCAGGGATTATCTCAGCCCCTCCAAGTAAAGTAGAAGAGGGAAGGAACAGATATCATTATAAAAGGAGTGCAGGCTAGACACCCAGAAGAACTTCCCTCACCACAGGTTTTGGCTCTTAGAATGGGTTTTGGGGGAAAAAAAAAGATATTTCTGAATTCCAGGACTCCTGGGCTGGGGGCAGGGCAGCAGATTCTCGATGCCTCTCCCGGGGAACAGGCGCTCTGCCAGAGGCGTGGAAACGGTAGGGTCCGTATCCCCTGGCCACCACCCTCTCCCTTCTCCTCCAAGAGTTACTCTGCCCCCGCGTGCGGTCCCCTGCGGGCTGGAAAGCCGGCGTCCCAGGTCCCCGGGCTGCGGGCCGGCAGGGGAGGAGTTAACTCCGGAGGTACCGGCTGGGCTCACTGTACCTGCCGCCGCCGCCGCCGCCGCCGGTGGGAGGGACGAGGAAGCGGGAGCCGCCGGGGCGCCAGGAGCGCTCCAGTCTGGCGGGGCACAGCGCGGGGAGCGGGTGGCCGGGGCTCCGCGCGGCCGGGGGCGTCCGCCAGGGGGCGCGCCGCGACGGGGCGGGAGAAGCAGCCTGGTCTGGGGAATTAGCACCAAGGACGGGCGCGCGCGCAGGTCCCCAGCACATCTGGGCGAGAGCGGCGCCGCTGGAGCCGAGGGGGGCGCCGAGCGCAGATCCGGAACCGCGGAGCCACGGCGCCGCTGGGGCCCTTCGAGGCGCTCGGGGCGCACATCTGGGACCTCGAGTGGGGGCCGAGCCGCGCGCAGCTGGACCAGGGGAGGGGGGCGGCGGCAGCACAGCTGGACCGAAGGGGGCGGGGTCGGCCCTGGGCGACCGGCTGAGGGGAGGGCCGCGGGCCGCCGGGGACTGGAGCATGGGACGGCGCTCCTGAAGGAGCAGGAAGGGGACGAAGAGGCCTGGGACCCCGAAAGGAGAAGCGGAGAGCGAGAGGACGAGAGCGGAGGAGGAGGATGCAACTGACTCGCTGCTGCTTCGTGTTCCTGGTGCAGGGCAGCCTCTATCTGGTGAGTGGTCCGCGGGGAGCTGCGCGGAGGGGCGGGGGCCCGGAGGATCGGGGGAGAGCGCGGGAAGCTTGCGAGCCCTGAAACTTTCTCCCTTCCCCCGACATCCCGGGGATAGCGGGGAAGACTGGAGGCTGGGGGAGAGGGCGGGTCCGAGGCCGGAGACTGGACAGATAGGGTTAATAGGGGCGGGGAGAGGGTGCTTGTCTGGCCCACCCACTCCGTGGCGGGTGGCTGGAGGTGCGACCAGCGCTCGGAAAAAGGCCCGGAGCCGGGTCGCCGGGGTTACCCGACCCCTTCCAGGAGCCCCAGGACCTCGGAAGGGGGCCTAGTGGGGGCCGGGCCGTGGAGCTGGTGACCTGCAGGCTTTTCCCGTGACCTCCGGGATCCAGAGAGCCCCGGGCTCTGGGTCCCCCAGAGCGCCGAGCCGGTCCAGGCGGAGGGCGGCCCCCGCGTCCGTCCCTCCCTCCCTCCCTCTCCCTCCCTCCCCGCCTGTTGTTTTCCTCTCCTCTCCCGGCTGCGCGCAGCCCGAGCCCCACAGGACCTGGGCAGGCGGCTCCCGCCCCGGGCGCTCGCGGTAGCTGAGCTGAGCGCCCAGAGCCCGCTTCCCGTGCACCAGCTCCGCGGCTTCTCGGCGGCCCAGGGCGCCGGGGAACCCCTCCACGAACCCAGCCCGGGGCTAAACTCCCCTCCGACCTAGCGTCCGCCAACCCTCCCCTCAATCCTGTCATGGAGAAGCCTCAGCCCCGCGTCTGGACCTGCCCTTTAATAAACAAGCCCCTTGCCACCGCCCCGATGCTACTGTGGGAAGAGCTTTTCCGTTCTCATGGCCCCACCTGTGGCCCTTTACCCTCCAGCCACGCAGCCGTGACCCCCAGGAGCCAGTACCTACAGGTCTGCAGCCCTGACCCAGTCCGCGAACTTCCCCTCCTAGCCGTCCCTCTACCCCACCCCCGGGGCCTGGCAGACAGGGCCAGCCTGAACTGTGGGGCAGAGACAGATTCGGCCACTGTACACAGCGGCTGGCACCACCCAGGCCAGAACACGGGCATGAAGACCCCACAGCCCCTTGGAACCGTATTGTCCCCACTCCAGTGTCACCACCAAATCCAGATGCTGCCCAGCTGAGACGGTGCCCCCCGGTGCTGGTAGAGACACCTAGGGCGAGTGGTCGCTTTCAAGAGCTGAGCAGACACACAGGCTGTGCCCTCAGGAAGCTCTGCCAACCTCCTGATGCCCCCCACTACTGTCCCACTCTCCCTGTGGCGCCTCCAAGAATCTCCCCAGGTGTGGCTTGTCACCATAGCTGATCCAGCAGGGGGAGGATGAGCCCCTGCAGCTTCCAGAGGCGGATGGCGTCTGGATAAAACCCTTTCAAAAAGACACATCTGATCTGTGAGGCCGGGAGTGTGGAGAGTAACAGAAAGGATGACCCTATGTGAACTCAGTCTTGTAGTGTCGCAACCTCTGAGCCCGGTGTCCTTATCTGTGAAATGGGAATGAGATCTACCTCAGAATGCAAGTAACATCTTGGCATCATCAGTGTCCCCTGGAGAGGTGTTTGGCTTTCCATGGCCATTCTGGGTGTGGCGTTCACTCCCAGTCTCCCCCAGTCCTCTTGCCCACCCTAAAAACTGTATTCATGCTTGAGAATTTCACTGTGTTCTGCTTTCTTATTCCATTGTCTGGTGGTTCTCTTTGCATCTAAGGGTAGAAATTATCCTAGGGGAGGGACAGCGTCTTACCCGACAGACTAGGAAGTCCCAAAGGGCAGAGGATAGCCTCTCCTGTCAAAGCAGGGGCTCTCCCAGGATTGGGGTGGTGCTCCCCTATCTGACTCAAGGCTCTCTGAGGACGGAGATTATGCCTCCCCCATCAGCCCGGGGGTTTCACAGAGGCAGGGATTCCACCTCCTATCAGATCGGGAGCTCTGTCAGCACAGGGATGATGCCTCTGCCATTAGATGGGGGCTCCCCAGGATCAGAAGCTGGGCTTCCGCCATCAGTCTGGGGACTCCCTAGGGGTAGGAGCCATTGTCCCTGGTGCCACATTCCACTGGAGAGAATTATTGTCCATCCTTGAGACTTTGAATCGTGGCCCAGACAGGACAGTGAGGAAAGGACATGAGGGGTGACCCAACTGTCAGAACCTGACATGTATACAACCTGGAGTGTACACTTGTTCCCCAGTTTCAGTGAGCAACACGCAGGAGCCCCTCACCCACGTCAGAGTGCAGTGGCAGGGAGAGAGGTGCTGCTGGTGGGGCGGGGGGTGGACCTCCAGGGACAGGGCTCTCACTGTACTCACGAATCCCTCCATAGGTCATCTGTGGCCAGGATGATGGTCCTCCCGGCTCAGAGGACCCTGAGCGTGATGACCACGAGGGCCAGCCCCGGCCCCGGGTACCTCGGAAGCGGGGCCACATCTCACCTAAGTCCCGCCCCGTGGCCAATTCCACTCTCCTAGGGCTGCTGGCCCCACCTGGGGAGGCTTGGGGCATTCTTGGGCAGCCCCCCAATCGCCCAAACCACAGCCCCCCACCCTCAGCCAAAGTGAAGAAAATCTTTGGCTGGGGCGACTTCTACTCCAACATCAAGACGGTGGCCCTGAACCTGCTCGTCACAGGGAAGATTGTGGACCATGGCAACGGGACCTTCAGCGTCCACTTCCACCACAATGCCACAGGCCAGGGCAACATCTCCATCAGCCTCGTGCCCCCCAGCAAAGCTGTAGAGTTCCACCAGGAACAGCAGATCTTCATCGAAGCCAAGGCCTCCAAAATTTTCAACTGCCGGATGGAGTGGGAGAAGGTAGAACGGGGCCGCCGGACCTCGCTCTGCACCCACGACCCAGCCAAGATCTGCTCCCGAGACCACGCTCAGAGCTCAGCCACCTGGAGCTGCTCCCAGCCCTTCAAAGTTGTCTGTGTCTACATCGCCTTCTATAGCACGGACTATCGGTTGGTCCAGAAGGTGTGCCCAGATTACAACTACCATAGTGATACCCCCTACTACCCGTCCGGGTGACCCGGGGCAGGCCACAGAGGCCAGGCCAGGGCTGGAAGGACAGGCCTGCCCATGCAGGAGACCATCTGGACACCGGCCAGGGAAGGGGTTGAGCCTCAGGCAGGGAGGGGGGTGGAGAAGAGGAGATGCCAAGTGGGGCCAGGGCCAAGTCTCAAGTGGCAGAGAAAGGGCCCCAAGTGCTAGCCCCAACCTGAGGCTGTGGAGCGACTAGACCACAGGAGCACTGGAGGATGAGCGGGCTCTCTGTAGCTTCACAGGGCCTTGCCACGGAGCCACAGAGAGATGCTGGGCCCGGAGGCCCGCGGGCAGGCCAGTCAGTGTGACCCCAGATCAAGTCATGGGAGGAACCTAAACCCTTGGTTCTTGCCATCCTGAGGAAGGACACTGACAGGGAGGGGGGATTTCATCAGTGTGAACAGCGTGTCAACTTAGGATGGATGGCTGAGACAGGGCTTCCTAGGGAGCTAGTCAGCTGGGTAGGGTAGGACCAGAGGAGCTCCCCAGCCCCGCCTAGTGGGCAGCCCTGAGCCCCTTGTCCTGTGCTGAGCAACGCATGAGGCTGAAGTGGTGACCCTGGGGTCTTTGATGTCTTGACAGATTGACCATCTGTCTCCGGCCAGGCCACCCCTTTCCAAAATTTCCTCTCCTGCCAGCACTGCCCCTCTACCACCCGTTGCTATGGCACATCCATCCTTAAGCCGAGACAGGATGATTGTGGTCCTCCCCGCACCAAGGTCACAGCCCGTGCGCGTGCTGTGTCCCTCTTCCAGGACATCACACCCTGCTGGCTCCTCTGTGAGCGTCCCTGTCCGGGAGAGCGGTCCCTCAACAGTCATCCTCACCTGTCAGACCAGGGTTCTCCCGGATCTGGATGGCACCGCCCTCTCAGCTGTGGGCACGGGTGGGGCGGAGCCAGGCCGCAGAGCATGTGCTGGATCTGTTCTGTGTGTCTGTCTGTGGGTGGGGGGAGGGGAGGGAAGTCTTGTGAAACCACGGATTGCCGACTTTTGTGTGCAGAATCGTGTTCTTGGAGCAGGAAATAAAGCTTGCCCTGGGGTACTGGAGTCAGAGTTGTCCAAGGAAAGGGCCTCAGGCATCCCTTGGTCCAGCAAGAATTCCTCTGATGGCCGAAGGACATGTGCTGGAGACCCGAGTGGGGGGGCTCCAGCCACCCTTGGAGCTGATGTCGCTGAGGGCTCAGGGCTTCCCTCTCCAACCCCTGCTCCAGGCTGTCAGATCCCACATGGGGAAACCTGAACAAACCCCCTGGACATGGTGGGGAAGGGGAGGGGCATGGCATCTGCAAAAACAGCTCAGGGAGGGAGAGCTAGCTGGTAGAATGGGCCAACAAGGGTGTTCCTTGGTGTCCTCCCTGAACTACCATCTGGAGACCCAGTGGGGTCCTAGCCCTGTCATTTTGCTGTGTGGCCTTGGCCTTGTTCATTCTCCTCTCTAACATGAGGGGCTTACCCAGCCGAGGGGTTCTCAAAGGCAGATCGCCCAAAGAGTAATCACAGATTTCTGGGTCCTACCCACATTTCTAATTCAGTAGGCCTGGGTGGGGCCTAAGAATCAGAATTTCTAATGCGTGCCCAGGTCTATGCTGATGCTGTTGGTCTAGGCCCATGCTAGGAGACCCACTCAAAGGAACTTGAAGTTCATCTCTGGCTCCACAGGACAGGGAAACACCTTGGATTCACTTTCCCGGCTGTAATTTCCATCTGTTCTCCTGGGGAAGGGGCCATTCAGAGAATCCACGGTATTGTACTGGGTTTTCAATCTGACCACATGCCAGTGAAGGAATAGGCTGGAGTGCGTGGACACAGGGCCTGCATCAGCCATTCCCCTCCTGCAGCTAGTAAGAGGCCTCAGAGGCTGGGCTCCGTGGCTCATGCCTGTAATCCCAGCACTTTGGGAGGCTGAGGTGGTCGGATCACAAGGTCAGGAGATCGAGACCATCCTGGCCAACATGGTGAAACCCCGTCTCTACTAAAAAAATACAAAAATTATCCGGGCGTGGTGATGCGCACCTGTAGTCCCAGCTACTGGGGAGACTGAGGCAGAAGAATCGCTGAACCCAGGAGGCGCAGGTTGCCGTGAGCCGAGATTGTGCCATTACACTCCAGCCTGGTGACAGAGCAAGACTCTGTCTCAAAAAAAAAAAAAAAAAAAAAGCCCTCAGAATGGCTGGCTGCCAGTGGCATCTCGTCTGGGAGTTAGTTGTGCCCTCTGGAGATCTGAGAAGGGAAGACATGACCAAGGTCACAGTGCCCTCTGGAGGTCATTCTAAGTGGGCTCTCTTGGGAGGGCGGCACTCAGGGCCCTTGAGGCCCTCTTGAGGAGAGGAGAGTCCTGGCACCGGGGTAAGGTGGTCTTGCCACCCCCCAACTTTTACCCCTGCCCGGCAGTGCTCAGCGAGGACTGGTCCCCTCCCACTGCAGCGCAGAGCTGGGCGGGGCTGAGAAGCCGTTTGGTTACAGCCCACCTTGTAAGAAGTGACCCAGCTTCTTTCTCCCACACCATGCTTCCAAGGACCATCTCCCCTCCAGACCACCCTCCACTCCCCACTCTGGATGCTTCAGGCTGCTGGCTTTGGAGTGTTCTCCCACCGGCGGATGCCCATCAGATGCCTCCCACGGCGCTGTGGAGACTGCAGGAAGGGAGGAGGGAGCAATGGGGCCAGAGGCCCTGGGCGCCCTCCTGCCTGCCCTGGCCGAACTCTCAGCAGGCACCTGGGGGCACTTTGACCCCCTTCCTGCTCCTCACTGCCTGTGGAGAGCCAGATGCTGCCGACAGCTGGAGGGCCTGGCCTGCGTGGCACACAGTTCTGCCTGCACCAGGGGTGGGTTCATTTTAATAACTTCATTTCGCCCTCATGCACACTGCTGCCTCATCCCTCCTTCCTGCCTTTCCCCGTAACCTGACTGCTCTCCTCAGCTAGGACTTTGCTAACAGATGATTTTCTCCCAAATCTGAATTCTTTGGAATAGCCCTCTGGTCCCTACTGTTCTTGCCAGATTCTTCTGTGCCCCCTTGGCCCTCACAAGGGCAAGGGGTCCATCCAACTTCCTCGGGCTAAGAAGACATCGCCTCTACCCCATTGGCGAGCATGTCCCCGTCGTGACCTTCCCCCCCACCCCAGTCACGACAAAGTGCTCTGGCCTCCCACTTTTGCCATGCACACACTCACAGGAGGTCCCTCTGAAGAAACCTGTCCCCAACTCTGCGTGGACCGCAAAGGGCCAGGAACTACTCACACCCTAACCCTTTGGCCTCTCCTATCCACTACCCTATAAGGCAGTCTGAAACGCCCTCAGAACGTTTAGCAGTCCCGTGGTCCTGCACCCCAACCCCTCAGCCCAGCTGGGGGCTAGGGGCCTTGTCTCCATCAGTGGAGCCTCTGGGACAAGTTTACCAGGCTAGGGGCTCTTTAAGGACACATCTTGGAACTCTTTTATCAGGCTGGGGAACGCCTAGGGCCAGGGGCCGTGCCTCTCTCATCAGACTGAGGACTCCCTGACGTCGAGGGCTGGATGGCCCTAGAGACTGGGGGTCCCGGAGGGCAGAGGCTAATGCCCTCTTCCTCAGACCGGAGTCTCCCTGAGGGCAAGAACTGTGCTATAGATGGAAGGGGCAGCTTGCCTCTTCCTAAGCATCAGAGCACCTGGAGGCTGCCTCTGCCCTTCAGCTTTGCCCAAAGGCGCTGTCTGACTCTTAGCGTCCGCTTTCTGAGTGGGGTGAATCTCCTAGCACTCTGTGAAGCTAATAAGGGGCACTACCCATTAGGTCAACTGGCAGCAACGCCCGAGTCTCCCTCTCGATGAAGCTTAAGGCAAAAGCAAATGAGTATCTAGGTCCCTCCCCCTTCCTCCCTCCCCCTTCCCTTTCCTGGGATGAGCAAGCGGGAACTGAGTCACCCCGTTCCCCATCCTTGGCAGGAATGCTGGTGACCTTGCATTGTGGCAGACTCGGGTGGTGAGGTCCATTGCTCAGAGATGCAGCCGTGGGTGGGGGAGGGTTTATGGGGATCGAGGCGGTTGAAGGGCAGGTGGGGGTGACCAGGGACTGGGCATGTGCAGGGGGGCTGAAGAGACACGATGAACCAGTTGTTCCATGTTGGGAAGTGAACCAGTGTCACAGCTGAGAGTGGGAGAGAGAAATGTTACTTCCGAAGACTCTGAGTCCTGTGGTACTGCCAGAACCGGGGGCTGGGGTGACAGGTGAGGAGAGGCACCACCAGCCCCACCAGGCAGAGGCAAGGTGGGGTGGGGGTGGCAACTGCCAATTATGCCAAAGTCCTGGAGTGACAGCTGGCACCACCACCAAGGCACAAATGCCAGAGGAGACCTGTCACTTACCTGACTTGTGATTCCATAGGGTCCCTGTCTCCTGTTGGTCTCCCAGGCTCAGAGGCTGACCTGATAATTCAAGTGAAGGATGCCAAGTTCGAGGCCTCCCAGTTCCTCATCTCAGGCCACCTGGTTAGGTGGTCCCAAGGGACAAGCTAGGTCCTCTTGAACCGCAGATGCTGCCAATAAACTGGTAACACATGTTGCAGGAAGATACAGCTGGGGCCTCATCCTGGGTCTGTAATTTATTAGACGTGTGGCTTTGGACAAATGACATAATCTCCCAGAGCCTCCTTAGATGCAAAACTAGGGCTCTGCCTACCTCGGTGTATTGTTAGGAAACTTAAAATGAGTTGCTCAACAAATGTTACTTCCTCCTGTCTGTTTCCTACGATGGGTTGATGTCAGCCTTGGCCTTGCTCCTGGTGTGGACTGCGGAAAGGGTCCCAGGCTAGGGGTAGGAGGCCTAGGTTCCTATCCTGGTTCTGCCCCCTGACGCATGTGGTAGAGATTGCTAATTGTCCCATAATGCCCATTTTCCCTTTCTCCATAGGAATGGGGATCTCTGTTTGTAGCTCTGTTTGTGGCTGCCTGAAATAACTACTATTTCTCAGCCTCCTGAGATGTGGTCATGTGACTAAGGTCTGGCCAGTGACATTTAAGCCAAAGGTTTAGATGGCACCTTCCAGAAACTGTCAGACAGCTGATGTGCACTCTCCGTCCCTTTGTTCCACCCTCTATCCTGTGGCCTGGAATAGGTACAAGACTGCTGCCATCTTAGGCCAGGAGGTAAGAGCCACACCCTAGAAGCGGCAGAGCAGTGAGCCGGAAGAAGTCTTGGTCCCTGGGAATGCTGTGGAATAGAAATATCATCCCAGGGCCAGGCGTGGTGGCTCATGCCTATAGTCCTAGCACTTTGGGAGGCTGAGGCAGGTGGATAACCTGAGGTCAGGAGTTTGAGACCAGCCTGGCCAAAATAGCAAAACCCCATCTCTACTAAAAATACAAAAATTAGCCAGGTATGGTAGTGCACACCTGTAATTGTAGCTACTTGGGACGCTGAGGCAGGAGATTCGTGTGAACTCGGGGCGGGGGGAGCAAAGGTTGCAGTGAGCTGAGATTGTGCCACTACACTCCAGCCTTGGCAAAAAAGCAAGACTCCATCTCAATTAAAAAAAAAAAAAAAAGAAATATCATACCAGTCCTAGGCTGCCTGCCTTCAGACTTTTATGTGAGAGAAGAATTAAAGTTCTATCTAATTTAAGTCACCGTGCTTTGGGTTTCCCTTTCCTGCAGTTAATTCTAGCTCCACCTAAGTCAGTGGATGCATTTGAGCACTTTACTTACATGGCCTCGGTTTCCTCATCTGTGGGACTGAGAATGCCTACATCTTTTGCCACACACCAGAGAGGTTTTAAAGACTCATAAGCAGCCGGGTGCGGTGGCTCATGCCTGTAATCTCAGCACTTTGGGAGGCCAAGGCAGGCAGATCATGAGGTCAGGAGTTTGAGACCAGCCTGACCAACATGGTGAAACCCCTATCTCTACTAAAAAAAAAAAAAAATTAGGCAGGCATGGTGATGTGCGCCTGCAAACCCAGCTACTCAAGAGGCTGAGGTAGGAGAATCACTTGAATCCAGGAGGTGGAGGTTGCAGTGAGCCAAGATCTCACCATTGCACTCCAGCCTGGGTGACAGAGCAAGACTCTGTCTCAA